AATATAAATGCAAATGTACATATGAATATAAATATAAATAAATCAAGAAAGAGGTTAAAAAAAATTAAATTAATTAACAGTAAGTAAATTTATTTATTTATTTGTTAATAGACGAATAAATATAATTCTATACAGAATTTTGTGAATTTGCCAGTAATATTTCAAATAAATAATTACTCATTTCTCCAAAGATGAAAAAATATGAACAAAAAGTATACGATAAATTACATTTATTATTTCACAATTTAAAAATCTGGATAAGGTTGTTTGCATATTTTCCATTTATCAGCAACAAATTCCTTCGTAAAATTTGAAAAAAAAAAAGACACAGAAAAAAAAGAAAAGGTGGAAAATATAAAAGTTGAAAACATTGAAGTTTTTAAATTAAAATTTTCAATTGTTTTTGATTTTTAGCTTTTAAAAGTGCGCTACGATTATTTAAATTATTTAAAATTTATTGCTAAATTTTTTTTTTTTTGTTACTCAAACATTTTCTAATTTTATGCTCAGGTGAATTTTTTCTTTTTTTTTTAAATAAAAATAATTGATGAAAACTGTACAAAATAGAAATAGCTATAGTTTTGATGGTATTATTCCTAATTAAATTACGCTAATTTAAATTTCAGCGATTTCAGATATAAGAAAGAAATGGATAACAGGAATTGTGGTAATATTTGGCAACATGGTTTCACTTCATCTCATACTGATGAGTACCATCATCATATTGAAAATTCATCGATTCCAGTTTTACGTGATCCAATGCGTGATGCTACCACATCATCATTCTTATTTTGGGATTATGATCCAACATTTTGCACCAATATTGGACAAACTGTTAACAGTAATTTCACTGGGCCACATTGCTTTGTACCATTATCACAGATTCCGGTACTATATTTTAGTGTAATATTTTAATTGACAATAATTATTCGTTAATTTTTAACAAAAATTTAAAAAGTAATATTTAAAAGTTTGTTTAAGAGGTGTAAATGATTGATTAATCATGTTCGTGCTCAATCACAATTGCCAACATGTGAAAATATCTAATAGTTTTAGTTTCTAAAGATCGAAATTCTTCGTTGAAGATATCAATAAAATGATTTCACAATTGCGAACATGTGAGAATATCCAATAGTTTTAGTTTCTAATGATCGAAATTTTTCGTTGAAGATATCAATAAAATGATTTACTGATAACGATTAACTAACTTACAAATAATGATAATGCTTCAAAAATACTGATAAGAATGTACATTCTATATTAAACAATAAATAGAAATAAGAATGCACACTCTATATTAAACAATAAATAGAAATGGTTTACACAAAAATCTAATTATATTTCATTTTTAAAGATTAAATTACCAAAAATTAATAATTGATGTCTAGCTGATTCTTCATATTATCATTTCTTTTTACTGTATTTATTTTTTAAAGTAAATTTGCGAAGAACAAAAATTGCTCTACAGAAAAACCTTCCTTTTTTTTTTTTAAAAAAAGTAAACTTTTTCCTTCTTTATTTTCTCATTTAATTATTCTAAAAACTTTTTCACTCACAAAAATTAAAATATGCAAATTTATTTTAGGATTCTAGCAGTAGTTTTAGCAGTTTACCAGTTCGACAAATGATAAAAACAGCAGCAGCACCAATTTATTCAAGCTCGCATCATCCTTGTACTGTTAAAGATTTCACCGTACCATTATCAACAAGGTTTTCATCTGAACAGAGGTATATTAAAAATTTTAGATATAATCAAATTTTTTCCTAAAACTAAAACTAATTCAAAATTCAAAGAATCATATTTCTGAGAATTCAAAGAATGATATTTCTAAAACTAAAACTAATTCAAAATTCAAAGAATTATATTTCTGCAGAATTAAAACTTTTTCAATTCTAAAAATTTTAAATTCAAATAGAAATATGCAAAAAAATGAAGTAAGTTGATCATTTAATCATTTATCAAAACTAGTAGTAAAATGATTAAATAAATTTGCACAATAAATTCATCCAATAAAAAGCCAAACTATCTTGTTTGCTTTATTTTTAGTGCAAATAATTGATTTCTTGTTTTCTTATAAAAAAAGAATAAATTTAAAATTTAAAAAGAACAAAAATAATAACTATAAAATCTGTCCCATTTATTTCATTGGAATGACTAAAACATTTATTCAAATATATGTTAAAAATAATTGTTAATTTTTGTTCACTCAAAACATTTGCCTTTTAGATAAGTGTTACAAAAAAAAAAAAAAGAAGTTTTCCACTCATAACTCCCTTTAAATTTGTCGTACCGTCGATAGTTATCTTTCGATCTACAGTATTCTTGTTACCTGTTCGTCAACTACAGTATCCCTGATATTTTCACTTTAATTGTAATACAAAAATTATATCATTAAGATTATTATTCAAGAAAGCATTAATTCCATACAATGTGCTGATATAATCATTATTACATCTATATTTCAAACATTAAAAAAATATAAATATCCATTTCCAACAAAAACATTTTTCTATTTTCCTAAGCTTAAATTATCTTTCGTCAATCTTTTCAGAATATTATTTCAAATTAGAATTGCTTTTAATTTTAAACTTTTTTAATTTTTGTTTCAATCAAATTTTTAAAAATTTCAACTTTTCATTCATTTTAATCTGCAAATCTTTTTTGCTTTCTCACAACTATTTATTCGTTTCATTAATACTTGAAAAACTTGCAATCAATTATTACTTCAATCAATTCCACCGGGAATTCCATTTAATGTTAAACTGTAAATGTGATAGAATGAAATGTTAAAGCGTTAATAAAAAAAAAATGATAAGTTGAATGAAATATTATTTGAATAAAATATTTTGAACAAAATTTTTGAATAAAATATTATTTGCATTTCATTATTTTTATTTGAAGTATTTAAATTTTCAGCTATTCTTTATTAGCATTTGATACATCTAATCCATCCATATCACAACAAACTGCACCACGAATACTACCGCCGGTAGCAACACGGAAAACATCCGGTGATGAACTATGTCAGGTTTGCCTTTCTGCTGCCTCCAATGGATTGCATTTTGGAGCCAAAACATGCGCTGCTTGTGCTGCATTTTTTCGGTGAATTTTTTTTTCCTTTTTTCCTAATTAAAAAATTTTAATTATTTCAAAAAAATTCGTTTTATCAAATTTACGAAACGAATCATTTTAATATATCATTTATTCGAATAAAATTCTAATTTTTATTCTTTATTCAAATTTTAATATTCTTAATACTTAAAATGCATTAGTTTTGTTTTTTTTCGCTTTTCTTTCAAATTTTTCCTTTTTTTTCAATTAAAATACCTGATTTTGTTATTTAAAAAAAATAAGTAATGTTTTTATGGGAATCTTTAAATTCTTTTCTCAATTTCTTTTTTTCTTTTTTGCAATTGAATTATTTTTTTTAATTATTTTTTTTTACAATTATAATTTTTTGTAATTTTTGCAACAATTTTTTTTACAACTTACAATTAAATGTTATTTTCAAATTGATATCATAAACGGTATTGATCGATGCTACCGTATTATTGCAATTTAAATGACAAAAATATTTTCGAATCTTAAATTACTATCCAATTTTATTTTATCTCTTATGTCATACTGTCAAATTTTATTGTTATATGATAACTTTTTGTTTTTGTCTATTAAACAATTTTTTTTGCTATTATATTATCATAATAAAATACAAAAAATTTTTCATTTACAAAATATAATACACATTAAGATATATTTACCTTTATGATATTAAAAAAATTTACAGTATCAATAATTATTTCAGACGAACAGTTAGCGATGAAAAGAGTTACACTTGTAAACGATCACAACGTTGTGATATAAAATTAAATTGCGGTATGTATAAGGGTAATAATAATAATAATAATAACAATGATGATGTAATCATAATAATAATGATGATGATGATAATGCTGATGATAATGATGGTGTTTGATCAGTTCAACAAATTTTCAAGATGATATCATTTAAAAGAAAAAATTTTCTTAATAAAATTTTCATTTCCATTCTAAAATGGTTTTTGCAAATAATTTTCAACGCATTAAAAAAAAGATAAAATTATAGTAAAACATATATATGAAAACTGTATATTTCAATCCTTTAATTGTCGCAAACACTCCATTATTTTCAGCAACTGGTTACCGGAAAATATGTCGTAGTTGTCGCATGAAACGATGTCTCCATATTGGTATGCTTCCGGAAAGTAAGCAATCTCATAAATTTTTAAAATTTTCAATAATTCAAAAGTAATTATTTATTTTTATCATCACTGTTTATTATTATTATTGTTATTATCACTTATAATAATAACAATAATAATAATAATAATAATAATAATAATAATAATAATTATTATTATTATTATTATTATTAT